TACCTACATTTTTTTTCCTGTTTGAATCTATGACCGGGAGGGATCGATTTAGCATTACTTCCTACCGGCAGTTAGTACCTACCTAATATGTAATAATATATTTTTTTAAAAACATTGTGTAATTGTACAGTGTATACAGTGTGGAGATAGTGTTATGTTTAAGATTTAGGGGAAAAGGCTGGATAATGTTGCATTATACATTTGTTTAGGGTCGCCATAAATTAAGACGAAACCAGGACAAAACAAACACAATATTGAGTAATATACTTTTTATATAACTTTTATTCTATTGAGAGGACCAGTATACAAGGGAAGGTCAAATCTCCTCCTAAGTCTCTTTTTAAATATTATAAAATATAGTTTTTAGTGCGAAAGCGTTAGAAACGTAAATAATTAAATTAAAATAATGATTTGTTTGCAAATGAACCTCTCCCCCATACAAAAGTTATGTGTACGCCACTGAAGAGGATCATTAATGGCCGGCGATATAATATTTAAAAACATTTTTGTAAAATAAAATATTTTAGTAAAATAAAATATATTGTAGGTATATATAAATAAATTATTTATTACAAATTATGTTTTTATTATATTCGTATATTGCTAATCGATTACGATTAAAAATGTAGGTACTTTGAGATATAATGGTTGAAATTAAAAATTAAACAATCCTACATTTCCCCTAAACGTCTAAGCCGGGACATCCATATGTCCCGAAAACATTTTTCGGGACACCGGGACACGAAGTTCAAAGCCGGTGACAATCCCAGTTTTCCGGGACGTATGACAACCTTACATTTGTTCAATGTATTAAGTAGGTATCGTAGTTTTTTCATAGGTTATAACTAGGGAACGGATTTATATGTAATAAAAATACAGAAATATGTACAAATATATGTAAGTATAATTTATAAAATATGTGCTAAAAACATCCAAATATGTGGGGAAAAAAATTTAAAAAAAAAGTGATTATTATTATTAAATTATCAAAAAGATTTGTTGCATTGAATTATTACAATATCTTGTAAATTATCAAATGTTAAATGTCGCCTATTAGGTATCAAAATATTTTTAAAACAGCTAAATTATCGTTTCATATCAACCGATGTATTAAAAGCATATTTCAAGTGCATACTATCAGAAGGCGATAATTTCAAATTTTTAAAAGGTTGTCTGCCATTCATTATGTCATTGATTGTTTTAAAATCAATATTGCCTGGAATTTTTTTCTGTAACAGCATGAATTTTCTTTTTTACGACATCTATTGGTCCGCTTAGGAGTTTTAATCGCTGATTCAACAATTTGCATACTATCGTTTGGGGACATATTTTTTTTTAATAATTTTGTTAAATTATTTTTAATTAAAATTAAATTATTTTCAATGTTTCATTTTGCATAGTATTTTGAGCTTTTCCAATAGCGATAAAAGTTTCTGGAACTAATTTTGAAATAATTTCTTGTATTTTCGTACGAAGAAGACGTATGAATGATGAAATGATGAAAATATGTTTAAAAATATTTAAAAATTAGTGAAATATGTAAAAGTATGTAATTATACCAAAATATGTAAAATAAAAGTATCATAATTTTAATAGGAATGATTTAAATCATAAACATTTCTTATCGAATCTTAAATATCTCGTTTTAATAAAAATATGCATTTACATATAAATCCGTTCCCTAGTTATAACTAATCTAGGGGGTACAAATTACCCATATTTACACCCATGATTTTGGATTGTAAATAATGTAGGTAGGTATACAAGATAGGAGCGTATTTATGGGGGTGATATGGATGTTAGAACATCCCCCATCGATCGTATTTTATGGTATTTTATCAAATTGCAAACTTACTTACAGTATAATTTGAATAAACGTGTATAGAATATAACTTGTAGATTTTACATATACTGTCTTAATATAATAATTTTCATTTATATAAAAACATGGTATTTATTAATGTAATAGGTACGGGGAGGGGGCAGAGTCCCCCCACTTACCATAAGTCTATTAAATTTTAAAACACCGTTAAATTAATTCTGGATACGCCACTGACACAAGGTATAAATATTTTAGAAGTTATGCACCTTACAACTATTGATATAGTGAAATCTATAATATTAATCTTAATAAAATGCTTTCTGAAGTTATAGTATGTTTGTTAATATATATATATATATATATATGTTACAGTTAAAGTATTGAATTCCGTTGTTTTATGAAATAACTAGGTACCTACCTAGTTCATGAATTACCTATGAATGTTAGTTAAACTATGAAATCATACATGAAAATTATACTTTAACTAGTTATTTCACAGAATCTCTAGTTATTCTGTACAATTTTAGTTTGATATTTGTTAATGTATTAAATACATTAAAATTTAAAAATATATCATAACATTTTCTTTATTTTAAATTTAATTAATTATTTACTTGCACATGCAAACTATTGTAGAGATATACGAACCAACACTGAACGCATATGACTGTAAAACTATTACTAAACTTTAAACTTTACTAATTTTATCAACAATCTTAATGATAATACATGTTCAACCATAATTTTATCTAACACGATAAATGTACATGAACACTGCAGTCACAAACAACAAAAACGTCAGTTATATCTAATTTATTGCTATGATGGACAGTAAAATAATGATGTTGTGTATGTATGAAAGTATTAATTTGACATGTTACCCAAGTGATGCCGGGGATTGTACAAAATAACTAAAGTATAAATTTTATACATTACCTACATGTTTTAGTTATTTTATAAATTACCTAGTTATTTCATAAACTAACTGGTTCAACACATTAACTGTAGCATATACAAATTTTCATTAGGAATTTATACTTTTATATTTTAAATGCATTATGAATAAATTGATATGCTAATTGCTTTGGACATTAACTTCACTTGTTTATAAATACGTTAGACAACAATTAACTTTAAAAATATAAATTATACTTGTATTATTTATAGTATTTTTTGATTTACATTATATTATAGTCAGACAATCTAATATGTAATTGATCTAATTAAAATTTAAAGACTTCACCAAGTATAATTTATTAATATATATCAAATTGACTCTTAGGTATAGAATAGCAGAGCGTTTATTAACCAGTTAATGGTGATGTTAACTAGTCTCCTGAATATTTTAACATTAATATATGTATATGAATTTAATTCTTGATTTCTGATTAGAGAAAAAACTTAATGGTACTTATTATTTGCTGACTACTGTTCAACGGATTTATAAAAAAATTGAATTCTTAGGAATTATTTTCATTCTATAAGGATCAAAATATTAGGTATATAGTTATAAAAATCAGTCACACTTAAGATCAGCTATTGTTAAAAGATATTCTTTACACAGATACCAAAATTAGGAAAACCTACTTTTAACTTTTACTTTAATTAATCAATTAATATTGAGACTGAATAAATTATATTATAAATAATAATTGTTCAACAATATTCCTAATTACTAACAATTTTAATAATAATTAAGATAAAAAACATTCCCCATTAATAATGTCAACCGATTAAAAGAATTTTTTGATACCATAAATATCTATTAATTAGAAATACTATACATTTCAGTTTGATTTATGTTTAAGTAATTATAAATGGAGATAACATTGAATTCAATAACACTTATTATTTTTCAATAATGTATTTTATTCAAGAAATTCAACATATTGTATAATATATTAATTTTATATATTATTATAAATATATCAATAAAACATTTATATATAATAAACAATTAACAATTAAAGATAACAAATTTGGTATCTAAATTTAATCACAACTAATTTATAATATGATAGGTAAGTACTGCGAAGAGAAAAACTATTATTAACTGTAATATTAACATACTGCGTTTGATCCAATGAGGTAAATATATTTTTAACTTTGACAGTCAATATCAACAATCATTATGATTTTATAAATCAAACATACACTCGAAAATAAGTAATTATATAAAAAATGAAAAAAAAAATTAATCATTTTTAAACTAAAGATTATAGAAGTAGCTACAATACTATCAATGACTAAAAAAGTGAAAATAATGTTATATAAAAAAAAAAAAATACATCAATAAAAAAAGTTTACAAATTAGTCATTGTCGAAAAAAATATAATCTCAATAGATTTGTTTATACTATTTTTATTCTCAGTTCAATAAATTGGTAAATAATAATAATATCCTTAAATTCAAGGATAGAGAAGACTTAAATAAACTAAAAATAGACATTATGTTAGTTAATTTGCATTGATAATATTTATTTTCAACAGTAAAATCATAAGATCAGTCTTAATTTTTAAATAAATTTAATACTTTCAAAACAGAAATAATATTAAAACAACAATTGAGTAATAAAAATAAATATTCAAGAAACAATAATTAATGTATGAAATAGGAAAACATTTTATTTTAATAACAAAACAATTAGTCCCATAATACAATTTTGTTTATGGAATTAAATATAAAATATAAAATAAAGAAAAATAATTATATTTTAATTTTTTAAATTTTTTAATTAATTAATTTTTAGATATGAAAGGTTGGTAAATATTAACTAATTAAAATACATACAATATAAATGGAGCGGTTTGGTTAAAAAAACTTATTAGTCTTTGAAATTTAAATACTGCATTTTCAATGTTTTATTATATTTCTACTATCAATTTATGATAAGTTTTATAATATTGTTAATTTTCATTAAAAATTTATAATTTTACATTGTCTAAATTAATGTTAAATACATTTAACAAAATTATTTATAATTACTATCAGTGTAACCTAACATTTTTCTAACCCTATTATTTAATTACTGTCAAGTAGTACTTCACAATTTGGAATGATAACTTTGAAATCAAAATTGTTCAATTTTCCATACAATAATAATTTTCAGGTCTCGCATAAATACAACCATAAACATTAATAAATATATCAGTAAAATACATCACATTAAATTTTCATAATTCGTACTTCTTAATTTCATAACTGTATATATCATTATAATAATAATTTCATTATTTTTTAAAGTATACAATTTGATCGAGCAAAATCATGATAGTTCAAATCCAGTGTTTGAAGAAATTGCATACCTAAGTTTGTCTCTAAGGATACTTTTTTTTTGGTAATTAGGGAGTTTGAGCAAGTTGAAACAAGTTGAAGCTGAAGGTAGTCTCAGGTTTGGATCTTTTTTACGAATAGTGAAGAATCCTCGAATGACACTTACTATAATAATAAAAAATTAAGTATATTATGATTTATTAAATAATATACTATTACAATATGAAATTACCTAGGGTGTCACCAAAATCTTCATCATCTGATACTTGAACACATCGTATGGAAAAAGGTGGTTCTAAGTATGCAAAACCAAGCAATGGTGGTTTCGAACAACTTGTTACAAACTATTCAAGTACAATTTTAATATATTTTATTTATCATATACATATATACATATCACATTTATCAACATATAGTAAGAAATTAAGTGAAACATACTTTTAGAAATAGTGATCTTTCTTTTTCTGTGAAATCTTTCTGGAGAACTTCCCACAACCAAAGAATCACACGGTGAGAATCATGAAATCCTCCATAGTATTGTGTAGTTCGTCTGAGATCAAGTAAATCGATAGGAGCATTGTCACCAGATATTAATTTTTGAAGCTATAAAAATCACAGAAAACAATAAAATATTTTCAATAAAACAAATTATATAAATTACCTCTGGAGTGGAGAATAAGGATAACCATTCAGGATTTATAACTGATTTAAATCCTTTGATAAAAGCAGCTGTCTGTGCTTTGATTTGTGTATGCATAACATAATGTGCCATCAAATGAACATAATTAATCCTAAAACAATTTGTTTTTATTTTAAATTAGTTTTAAATTTTAAGGTTTTCTGATAACTAGGGTCATCAGCATTTATTATTTTAGTGTTTAGTATAAGATAAAGGAACACTAGGGTTAACTCGTGTTAAAACAATTTTGTTTTTGTGAACTTATGTTTAGGAGCAGTTGATTGGGGGACAGTAGCAGGTTCTTCTTCAAGACTATTATGATCCAGTCTGGAAAATGATACTGTCAGCAACTATACATTTCAATAGTTTGAATTTGAATGAGCATAGCTGTCAATCCACTTGGCCATTTCGCCATTTTTTTTAAAATCAGTATTCATTCATTTTATTTATTTAAAATAAGTTTCTTTTTTAAATTATTTAGTTAAATAACAACAATTTTATCGAATTTAAGTTAATATTATTGAGTTTTGTTGGTTTTAGTAATCTGTATAAATTTGAAAGCAATGACAAACTAAAGAAAAATATTGTAAGTTATGAACTAAAATAAATACATTTATCATTATTATCATCATTAAATCATTAAATAATGATGATAAAATAATAAAAATAAAAATAGCAGTTGTATAGTATTACTTGTTTTGATTAGTAACAGTTATAACTCTTCCGCCAGGTATAAGATCATGAGTGGTCAACTGACCAAGGTGGTTATCAACCACTGAAAAAGTAAGGTCTAATTCTGAAACATCGCCTTCATAATGTTTGACTGATGTTAAATTTCTATATAAATCATTATCTAATGACGGCAATTCATCCATTGAACTATAAAGCAGCTCTTGAGTTTGTCCTAACAACTGACTTAAAAAGAACGATGCAAATGGAACTTCAACAACAATACCCTAAAAATAATTCTAAATGAATTAAAAATACCAATAAGGTAATTAAAATAATTACCTCATAAACAGCTTTTCCTAATATACGACCAACAAATTCAAATAAATTCAAATGATTTTCTTGAATATGTGATGATGGTGATGGATATAACCGTTGTTCTTCTGTTGTTCGAAATAAATTTAATGAGGGGTCAAAAACTCTCTTAATAGTTTCTTCGAGAAATTCTGTTTGTATATTTTTTTCATTAATAATATTCAATATACCAAATTAAAACTTTAAAAACAAACCTTTAAATACACCATCCTGATCAATTCCTGCTTCATCTAATCCTTGTTCATTTATGAATTTTACTCTAATTACACCTTTAAAATTCTTAAGTGACATTTCTGAGACATAAGTATAACCATCTTCAATAATTCTATTCCTACACATAATTTAAATAAATATATTAAGTTTAATTGTTAAGTAAAGTACTGAAATTATAATCATTATACCTTCGGATCGTTATAACTGTTGGCTGGAAATTCTCATTATCATATTCGTGTACACCCAAAGCAATTTTTTCACGAGAGACATATTTTCTAAAGAGTCGTACTCTAGTTTCATGAGAAACAATGTGAGGAATTTCTTGAATAAGAATCTAAAGGTGACATGTATTATACATTTAAAAATATTTTTTTTTGTGTAATTAAATAGAAAAAAATTCAATACCGAGTATATTTTACGACCTTTTTTGAGTTCATTAAAAAATGAAGAAGTTTTAAGATCACCAATTAGCCAATGTCCAGTTGGTGCAAAAGATCTACGACAATCTCTGCGATAGAGAACCATTAAGAGAGTACGACAAGATCGGAACAAGCTATTGGATGAAGAAGTTGTATCTTGAATATCTAGAATATTTAAATTAATAAACAAATACTTATTCAATAATATAAAAAAAAAATTAATTGGTTTCTCACCAAACAAATTTTGAGATATTCCTTTATACAAAAAAATGTTCAAAAAACTAGACATCAAAATGTAATCCCGCAATACAAATGGTTTCTGTAGCTCATACATTTCTATATCATCAAGTATACTTGGAGAAAAAAAAACATTAATTTAATATATTTTGTTAAAATAACAAAACTTCACTTACGTTATGTAATGTGACATACTATCACAAAATAATTGTAGCATACGTAATTCTCCTGAATTGCAATTTTTATCACTTTCTAAAATATCTAACAAATTTTTGAGGCCACAATGAGAATCTAAAAATGCCAAAAACCTCCATAGTAAATAAAGGGTGTCTTCGTGATAACATAAACCTAAAATAAAAATATAATTAACTTTAGTTTTTAAATGTTAAACAACATAAATACCAGTTATTATATCTAGTTTGAGCTGTGTTATTGTCTTAAGACAAGTGAAATATAAGTTGCAAGCAGCAACTACTTTTGTACCATGAATACCAGTAAGTTTATAGGTAAACTGATTGGTATTGGATAGTCTTAGATCAAAAGCTTTCCTATTGAAAGTAAGGAAATAATTTAATTAACATTGATGTTATAATTTTATAAATGAAAATATTACTTGATTATTGCTATTGGATTATTTGTTTTAGGTGGAGGAGATGGTACTTGTTGATTCTCAGGTATTTGTGCTAAAGCATTAATCAAATGACATCGCAGTAACTTCGAACATAAATTTCCACACCATAGTGGAATTAATTGACTTTTCAAGGGTGGTATATTGGGAGAGCATTGACATTTAGAATTTGCTGTAAACCAACCAAGTTCAGGATGCCAAACACTGGATACATTTGAATGTTTCTTAACTACATTATTTCTGATAGTGTCTAAAAATGATGTTAAACCAACCTAAAGAATAATTAATACAAAATTAACCTTATTAGTTATATAAAAAATATATTGGTTATTTCAAAAGAACAGTTGTAGAAATCTAATTTTATATCAAAATTAAATTATAATATTTTTGATTTATATTATTTATCACTAAAGTTATTAACTATTTTAAAATGCAGTCTAAAATAAGATCTTAATAACTATTTACTATTGTTTTTATTTATGTTAAAAAATTGACAAAGTTTACAAGAATAAAGATTTTATAGATTCTGATCAAATTGAGAAATGCATTTTATAGTTAATGTTTACAATTTTTATTCATGGAAAACCACTAATTACAAGAATTAATAGGATTATTTATGCTTATATGTATTCAAAAGTTTATTGAATTTGAGTTTTAAATAGAATTATTTTTTGATTAAGAAACAGAAATTAATATTCATTATAATATAGTTATGTAAGAAAAATTGTACAAGTCATATCAATTTTAGTTTACTATGAAAATGTTAAATTTAATTTATACTTATACTTGTAAAACATATTTATCTGTGAACCTTATTTATATAAAACAAGAAAAATATCAACAACTTACTATAAAAACAGAAGTAGAATTTTCTTCAAATTGTTTTGTTTCAGCACTCAATTCAGCTAAATGTATAATATTTCCAATCAATGACAAACACCAGCTTGGATGTAAAGAATGATATATTTCATCACATTGGTTTTGATCATTCAATAGTAGCATTATCTTTTCAAGAAGATTAATTGATTGAAATGTTTCAATAATCTATAATATATTTTTCAACTTGATTATTATTAACTCTTAGTAAGTAAACATTTATATAGAATTATTTAATAAGTTTTAATAATACTTACTTTAGGAGAGAGAGATATTAAATGTTCCATTAATAAGGGTATTGAATAAATTTTGATAACAAATAATAGAAACACATTTGTTGAAAAATTACTCAAAACTAAACACCTCCAACAAATGGTCATGATAGCAGTCATGGCAACAGGTTTTAAAAACACTTTTATGCCCAATAGTCCTGTTATTAGCAATTTCTGAAAAAAATATAATTATATTAATTAATATCATTGCTGATAATAATATGATTTTACTGAATACCTGCATAGTGTTAAACACATCATTATTCAATAAGTGTGCAACTAAGTTTTCTGTTAAACGTTCTAATCCTGGTTTTAACCCTTGTAGGGAATTATTTGAATTTATAGCACACCATCTTGATGTTGATGTAAAGGATACAATCATATGAAGTAAAGTATGTAAAAAACATGAATCCTCTAGTGATTTTGGCTGTAGAGTAGATAAATAACCAAGACAAAGTGACAGGATTTCTTTCACATGATTTATCCAGTTTACAGCATGTTCTTTAGTCAAAGCTACTGATATATAGCTATATTTAATCGATTCAGATTCCAAACTTAGAATTATATACCTAAAATTTATAATATTGAAATTAAAATATCCTGTAGTAATTTAAAATAAAATTAACAATTTAATAACCATACAGTATGTTTAACAGATAAAAATTAATAAGGTATTGAAATTGATCAATGTACTTAAAAATATTTTGTCAAACAAATGAAATATAATTTAAAATAACTATCAGCTATTAATATCAAATGTAAAACTAGGATTTAGAAAGGAACAAGATAATTATGGACATATTTTATCAATTCAATAAAAATTAAAAGTTAAAACAATAACTGTTGGTGCAGTACCTGCAGAGTTTCTCAAATCGATGTCTATCTCGCTGTTCATTATAACAATTCAGTAATTTTTTTGCAGTCACATAAACCTTAACAGCTGGTTTCAAATCACTGATGTTCTCAAAGGTTTCATCAAACTGATACCTACATTTGAAAAATTAATCATAAGACATTGACTAATAGTTGTAATTTATCATACAGAAATAAACATGCACTGAAAATAAAAACCAACAGTATTAAGTTCTGAGTGCGTTTGCGAACTAGCCATCCTCTGACAAATGACTGGACAAGGATAGCCGATTGTTCGCGTTTACGATCATTTGCTCTTTCTATTCGTGCAGCTCTTGTTTGTTCGATAAACTGCGTTTTAGAATCCTCCCCAAACATCATTCTAATGAAATACAGACACAATGGAACACACAATGTAATACGAATAATGACACAGTTGACTTTGGAACTTACTTTACAAGATATATTTTACGTTCATAATAAGGTTAAAATTTAAAACCGATGGTTGATTAATACGAATGGATATTGCTGAGAAAAGAATTTTTTTCATATATCAATGCAGAACAATCGCAGAATCAAATTGGAATCAGTGAATACCCTAAATGTATTCTCATATCGAAAACAAAAATATCATTATTATCATATTTTTGACGATTACAATAATAATAATAATGAAAAACATACACACACAAACACACACATAGATATACTAAAATGTAAATATTATTCTATTTTTGTTTTTTCTAATCAAGAAAGTGTACCGGTTAAGTTGGTAACGACGTCATTTAGGTTATGTTAACGCTCGTTTGCAATGTTATCAAATTTAGAATAATATTGAACGTTTTTAATAATTTTTGTATGTATAGTTGAACATTTTATATTATACCAATTAGTGTCTATTTAAAGTTCGATCTTTTACCGAAATCTATCGTCATGGAGACCTACGACGTTATTGTTAATCAGCCCGTTGTTATTGACAATGTAAGTCCTATGATTAATGCATAATATTTTGTACGACTATGAACATGTTACGAACTACCTTTCTTCCTACACGTTTGTGATTAACGGGAAACAATCACTGCATTGTGATCTATTTGTTTCCATAATGGTTTTACGTTGTGTATGACGTAAACTTATCGAATAGTAGCTTTCAATCATTTTTAAACTTGTTAATCCGCTTGTTAGTATTTCAATGTATTATTTTGTCCATCAGTTTGGATTTTTGTCTATATAAAAAAAAAAAAAAAAAAAACAGCTCGTTTAAATGAAATACCAAGTTTCTTATTAAATCGAAATTTTAATCAAGTCACTTTCAATATCGTTCATTTTTGGGAACTCATGATTTACATAAATTAACTATGTCCTAACTATCCTTTAGTATAAATCAACAGTACAAATTCCCCATAAGTTTTAGTCATACATACTGTATACATTTGTGTTCTATTATGTGTTAGGGTATTCATATTGAGCTATTCATTTATGGCTTCAACACATGGTTGATTTTTTTTTAGTATTGGTACAGACGTGTCACTTTTTTTAAAACATCTAAACTTAGTGGAGCAACTAATACCGACCAAATTTTTAATAAAAGTTAAGAACAGAATTTCCTGTAAATTAATATATTTATTCATAAATTTACAATATTAGTAAAACTATTTATTTTCATTCTCAGCTATTCTAAATTGGTATAACAAAATATAATTTATTTTTAGAATTGTACTATGTACACTCCACTGAATAAATTTTATAAAGTAATAGGCAGTTTTTCAAAACCAAAGAATACTTTAGATTATTTAAACAAAATAATGTATTTAGTATTATTATCTATTTTTTAGTATTGTTTATTATATTATTTCTTTTAATTTAAAATTAAAAATCAAAATACTTCCCAGTCTTATGATTTTTTTTTTTTTTTAAAGTAATATTTAAATAGTTTGAACGGTCAATGATTCTTATAATGAGCACTTGTTTCGCTTCAATCACTTTATAATAGCATCATACTAATTTATTACTTTAAATGCAACAATTATTACAAATGTAACATGATTTTAATAAAGTTTACTATGGATGAAGTATTTTTTTTTTATAATTTTAATGGTTTCAAAAATAATTTATAAAGAAAGTATTATTTAATAGAGAAATGTATATGATTACTAAAAGATATTAAATATTATAATTTTTATAAAATTTCAGATTTTATATAAATAATTTCAATAAAAACCATGTAACACAACTGATGTTTAATTATTTATAAAAAAAATTTGTTGAAGACACATTTACCAACTGTTGATTATTTAACCAAGATTAAGTTATTGTCATAACAAATCATAATTCACATTGTATTACATTATGTATTTGAATTAAAAAATGTCTAATGTTAAGTAAAACTAGAAAAAATATAAACTTTTGGTAATTGATTTAATATTATTACATAGGGTTCAGGTGCCATCAAAGCAGGATTCGCTGGTGAGCAAACACCAAAATGTTGTTTTCCAAATTAGTGAGTATACAATTAGTAATTAACATATAATATTGATTTATTAATAATAACAATCATACAATTTTTTCATTGAAATAAACATCTTTTATCCAGTATTGGACGACCAAAACATGTTAGAGTAATGGCTGGAGCACTAGAAGGAGATACATTTATTGGACCAAAAGCAGAAGAACATCGTGGTTTGCTTTATATTAAATATCCTATAGAACATGGTATAGTTACCGACTGGAATGATATGGAAAGAATATGGCAGTATATATATGGCAGTGATCAGCTTCAAACATTTTCTGAAGAACATCCTGTACTATTAACTGAAGCGCCTCTTAATCCACGAAGAAATCGTGAGAGAGCAGCCGAAATATTTTTTGAAACTTTTAACGTTCCTGCTTTTTATGTGTCTATTCAGGCTGTTTTAAGTTTGTATGTAATACTTAATAATATTTTGTTAATAAATTGATGAAATAAAAATATAATTTTTAAACTCAGATATGCAACTGGTCGTACAACTGGAGTTGTTTTAGATTCTGGTGATGGAATTACTCACACTGTACCAATTTATGAAGGTTTCGCTATGAAACATGGTATTATACGATTAGATTTAGCAGGCCGTGATATATCACGTTATCTTAAGTAATTATATTACTTAAATAATAATGTAAACAATAATAATTATAATTTGGTTTTTATGCTGTATTTAGATTATTATTAAGAAAAGAAGGGTTAAACTTTTCTACATCAGCAGAATTTGAAGTGGTTAGAGCAATTAAAGAAAAAGCTTGTTATGTTGCATTAAGTCCAGTTAAAGAGGAAACTTCTGAAAGTAATATATATCAATACATGTTACCTGATGGAAATAAAGTTGATGTAAGTTCACTGAATTGAACTTTATACATCTATGTTTAAAAAATTGGAATTGAAAATAACAAAATAAAATTAAGCAATTTACTGCAATTTCTGCTATTTTACATATCATGTAACTATAGCTTAATTTATTTATATTTATATTTTAATTTTTACTAGATTGGACCAGCTCGTTTCCGTGCTCCAGAAGTTTTATTCCATCCAGACTTAATTGGTGAAGAATGTGAAGGTTTGCACGAAGCATTAGTATATTCAATACAAAAATCAGATTTAGATGTGCGAAAAAAACTATATCAAAGTATTGTTCTTGCTGGAGGTTCAACTTTATTGTCTGTAAGTTAAAAAAATATAAATACAAAAATCAGTCATTATTGATTCTCTATATTTTTTTTTTAGGGATTTGGTGATAGGTTATTATCAGAAATAAAGAAATTAGCTCCTAAAAATATGAAATTAAAGGTAAATACAAATCATTATAATTTACAAATATATTTTGTTTATTTATTTTTTGAACTTGACTGTGACTAATTAAGTCTTTTATTATACAATAATATGTATGAGTATTGATTTGTGGTAAGCGTAGACAATTTTCATCTGGTCATAAATTGCAACTTTGTTCTGTGTATTGAATATAGCTAGTATCTGTTGGTAATCAGTGGTGCAAGACCATAGAGAGGAAGTGCTAGTATAATATTATTCATATACTATTTACTATTTACACATGAAATGTTTTTTCATTTTGGTTGATGGTATGGATGTTAGTACATACTAGGTATTGGCTGGTTTTAGTTAATATAGTTACAGTTTTTTTTATTTAATGTCAGTAAATTATAAAATCGTATGTGTTCTAAGTTGAAATCTGTCTTTTATTAAAGTATTATTGTATTTTAAATTTATAGTTAATATAAACAATTTATTTTAATTTAATATTAATTTTATAAATTTGGAAGTGTAATGTACTCTAATAAAAATGAAATATTTAATTGAATACAGTATATATAACAATATGGGTTGGTTTATTTTTATTTAAATATCATTAATTGTTTTCTATTTAGTTTATATGAATTAAATTTATCTAACTATTAGATTAATAAGACTTAATTATTATTAATTTTATCAATATTTCATGAAGTTAAAAATGTTAATTTAATTTTGGAAGTTTGCAGATTCTTAGATTTTTTAGTTCTCTTAGTTTTCTCTTAATTCTTAGGTGTAAAAAAAAAAAAAATTTTCTGCTACAAATATAGTTATGTATATAACTTGGTATTTGAAAATGTATGTATGAAGTATAATATAATTTGAGAGAAAGAATATTAAAGTTTTATTTGAATTATGTTTAAGACCTATTTGGCTTTGATTATAACTGACTTCTGTGTCACAATTCAAATATGGAATACAGATTATTGTATGTTCTGGTTACATTTTTTTTTTTTTTTTGATTATTAATTTAAATTTACAATCTGCACAATAACATAACCATAAGAAAACATTATAATTATATATAATGTATAGGGTGTTTCATTAAGAACACGGGATTTAATTTTGTAATTATTTTATTAAAAAAAAAATTATCAAAACAAAACAATTATATGAACATATAGCATACACACTTCGATTCATGTATGAAATAAAATGTTTGGCATATGCCCTCCTGTACTTCGCTAGCAAGTTTCCATTCTGGTTATGAAATTGCCTATCATTCGCTGACACAAATCTTAGTCCAGTTCATCAATAACCCAGAAAATTGTATCCTTAAGTTCATCGATTGTTCGTGGTCTATTTAACATAGGCATGAGCTTTTACGTAACTCCAAAGAAAAAAATTCAGTGGAGTTAGGTCGCACGACCTGGGAGGCCAGTTCTGTTCACCACATTGTGAAAAAGTCAATCTTCAAATTGTTTGCGCAATATGAATATGGCATGAGCAGTATAGAAAGTAGCACCACCCTGTTGAAAACATATAACAGCTGTGAATAAATTAAGTCTAAATTTTTTTTCATCATTTGATACGATAAACTCAGCGGAATTGCCAACTCCTATGATCTTTGACGAAAATATGTTGTTGGACTGGTTAAAACACTGTCAATTAACATTTCTTGGCTAAAAGGTATCCGTGACTGCGTTTACGCGTTGAAGTTTAAAAATCTTGCACTGAACCAGTTTCCTAAAATTTGGATATCAATTGACGGATTGTTGATTTATTAGGCACCTCGTTTTGTTCCATGATTTGATAAAGATTGCATACAGTTTCATAAATTTCATCCTGACAATAAAAAGTTATATCATAACGCATTCTTCAGTAGTAAGACGTACACTATAGTAATGTAAACAAAATAAATCAAATTCTTTCACATGTCATTGCAGAAAGATAACCGGTAATGTTTAAAAAAAAACAGGCAGCCTATGCACAAAACAAAAATTATCAGGCAATTTAAATCCGGCATTCTAAATGAAATATATTACATATTATGTAATTGACATGAGTAATATAATTTATGAAAGATGCCCATTAATAACACCCTTAAAATTTGTTGTTTATTTAACTATTATATGATGAATGAGGAAATTTAATTTTATATTAATAGGTCACGGGATTAGTTATTTTTTAGGCATTACTCCGAGTTTTCAGATAAGAGATAAGAGAATATATTTTTTTATAAAGAGATTTATATTAGAGCTGTTTATAGTATGTGGTTACTAATTTTTTACTGTTTGGGATTTTGTGATCTTTGTAAAAACAAGCATTGCTGATGTACCAAGGTTTATCTTGTTCTGGTTGGCTTGTATTAGAGAGATGTTGGAAAGTTTGACCAGTCTAAATTTGGATTCCAAAAAACTAGTTGGAATTAGGATTGTTTTATATCTAGTTAAATTTAAGATTAAAAGGTAAATAAAATGATATGTAAGAGTGTAAACATGATACATTCATAATTTATTAGAATTATTTTCATTTTATTTTCAAAATAAATACTGATTATGAAGGAAATATTAAAAGTATTTGAATATTTGAATTTTTTTAAAAAGATATTGAAATATTTTGTAATGATATAAAAAATTTCAAACGGTTTTCATATTGCCTATATGAGACCCATTAAAAGTTATAATAGTCATACCATCATATTAACAGTAAATACCTATATTATGCTAATTAAATTGTAATTAAATTAAAGCCATAATATATTACATACTCATTACTTATATATTAAAAAGCTTAAAAAATATTTTTTAATTCAAACTCATTAATCTTTAAAGAACTATTTAGTAGTTTAATTTTTCAATTATGTTAATTTTATCCATTTTATTCTATAAAAAATCCATTTTTGGTAATGAAAATTATTTTTTCAGCTTAACTATAAAAATTTAAATATTCTATGTGAACTTTTTTATAATATTTTTTGTGTATTTGTTTGTTAATTATTAAATTATAGTTTATAATCATAATTCATACTAAATAGTTGATAGATAAAAAATAAATACAAATAAAAAGTATATAATTTAAATATTTAAATTTATTAATAATTATTTTATTTATATAATTTCCGATTTTGTTGTAGTCAGGCATGGTTAGAAGTAGTAGTACACTTAGAGACTTTATAGGTTTTCGTTAATATGTTTCGCCTTTATTTTTTCTTTGTACTTCTTTATTGATTACAATCGAACCTAAAAAGTTATTAAGTAAATTTTCAATTATTTACATAAAACAATCGGTTTTAGTAAAAGCTATAGTGTTTTAATTCACACAATCCCCGTGTGCCCACCAGAATCACGTTTACATGTAAAAACGAGAGTATTATAATGTGTGTTATTTGTATTCTGTTATCTGTAATAGTAAACTCGCTACTACTTACCGTCATGAATAATGTAAATTATATAGTTCAAGGTCCGCTTATCGTTCCGTGTGACGTTGACACTTATCTAGAGCCGGATGACCCACCGACGTGTGCGATAGGTGTCAATGTCGTCGAACCCTGGTCGTATATATTGTTTTTGTTTTTCTATCGCTCATTATTGTACACGGTGCACGTAAAAACCGACTAAAATATCAGTGGTATGTCCAACGCAAAGTATATGGGTATATTGGGTCTATTCATTCTGTAACCGTACCGTTTAGTACTACTGTATCATCTCTAGATCCCCTAGCATGAAGAGAAGTGTATTTTTGGATTTCTGTCTGTAAACCTCAGATGCATTTATCTGTTATGTCTACCTAATGTATTTAAATATACATAAACTTTACATGCGATAAAAAAAAAATAATAATAAACGTATCCCATCAAATAAAAATTGGACAGACCCGGATTATGTTGACCCTGTAAAACGCCACTAAAACATATTGTTTTGATCGTTATGTTTTTATTTTTATTTGTTTTTCATTCTTAAGATTTTAGCGCCACAAGAACGTTTGTACACGACGTGGATCGGAGGTTCCATCCTTGCGTCGTTGGGCACTTTCCGCCGGATGTGGGTGTCGAAGAGAGAATTTTTCGAAGAAGGTGCACGGGTGATCCACAGAAAAACGATGTAATTCCCGTCGAAACCAAGTAACCACTCAACACTATCCCGTTTACGACCCTTGGTCAGGCATCGCACGCGCAATAGGTGTTCTACCCCGCAACGGTCGTACGCGTGGACCATCATCAGTTATCGCATTTCTAAACGTCGTCCCATAAAACGGAAAATATACTGCTCTATTCCGTGCAACCGTGTATTGCGTACACAAATATACACATACACGCACGCACAAAAGTATTTTTATTATATTTCCTTTTTATATGTATAACATCGTTTTATCGTGATTCGTCGTGATCTTTAGCTCTTTCTTTTTTACAAAAATAAAAAACATAAAATATAATTTTATAGAGTTAAACACTTTTGTACAAATGTCCTAACCATTTTCGTCACTAGTTCATTTGTTTTCTTTATAGGGCTTATTATTATTATTATTATTTGTTTCGCGCTTTACGATTTCTTTTAATAATAAAAATATTGATGTACAATATACACTCACACACTCAATATACGGTATGTTATGTGTATAAGTATTATCATTTTTATAAGATTAATTATTTTTTTTTTATAATTGGAAAATACCTGATAGCCATAATGAGAAATCCGGTCGTACGTGATTATCGTATTAATTTTGCAAAATTAAATTGATATCTTTTAGATCTTTTTGTACTCTAACGACGCTGTGTGACAAACAGGTTAGCCTAACTGATAGACCGGTAGCGTCTGTAAATATAGTACGATATGTATTTACTGAATAAAATTTATTTATTTTTACTTAAAATGAGATATATTTAACAACCGTGTGAACAACACTCACTCTGTACATTATATTTTATATTGTCGAATGTTCACTGTTTATGGTCGGTCGACAACATTTATTTATTAAAAAAAAAAAAAAAAAAAAAATAATAATAAATACAATTACTTAACAAGAACGTTTTTTTTTTTTTTTATTAATTTTCCTGTATCATTTCAAAGTAGATCTATAATGAGCGATTGGTCTAAAAAAAAATTTAAACAATCGCAAATTGGCAAAAAATGAAGTCTAGTAAAAAGAAATTAAACTTTAAATTCTTTAAAAATAATAATAAATTACAAGATGTGCATATAAGTTACTTGGAATTTTTATACATTCTACAATTTGGTTAATTCTAAAGTTTTTAAACATGTCAAGTTCTACACATAAATCGTATTTTCCTGAAAAAACTAACGACGTCCAGTGTTTTTGGCACCGATTTGGGAGCCAACATCTTGTTTCTCAAAACATACCGTCATCACCTGTTGACTCATATTTAAGATTAAAAAACATACAGTAATCATTAATATTTTTGGTAAATAAAATTTAAACAATTTTCGATTCACGTTTGAAAAGCGTTTGAACATTGAGCGTGTTTTTAATTTTTTAAATCTTACGATAAGTTTCTAATTATGAATACAACTGTACGTTCCGAATTCATCCAAAAATAAAACGATATAGTTTACAACTACTAGTTTTTAAATTTATAATGCTAATTAGCTTCGGACGAAATAAAGCAGATACTAAGTGCTGAAGCGCGTAAAGCATTTTCGAGAACGTTTGGATAAAACGGTTTACTCTGAAACATTATAAACCAGCCACGTATATAGGGGGGAGGTTGAGATTCACTCCCCCCAAATTAATATCTTTGAAAATCAAGTCAAATTATAAACCCATTATAATAAAATATTTTTATTACTTGTTGTTGACTGTTTTCTATTTCTATTTATTAGTCGGGTATGAAATACAAGTGTATATATTATAGTTGAATGATTGAGGTGATTACTGAGAAATACATTCGAGAACTATCATTGCGATATATATAATATACCTGGTAAACTCACATTTTGTCAATAATCTTATTTTCCGTACTCGATCGGTTACCAAAAATTCCTATTGAAATGCTAATCTACAATTAACAATCGTTCAGTTTTAAGGTCTATTTACACCTAACCGTTCCGTGTCCGATCCGCAACCGTTGTCCGTGCCCGTTCAGTGCTGTTCGAACCTATCTTTTGACCTAACGCGCGTTTTACGTATCGTGTTTCATTGTTGCTTTGGGTGCTTGAAAAAAATTATAATATGACTGGAAGTGCAGAATCGCTAGAAGATCTAGCTGTACTTGCCTTGCTGCTAATTCTATATGAGAACGAACCATTTCTATAATTTTTCTGTCGATATTGGCACACATGATTTAAATGTAGATACTCAAGTTTTTGAAAAAACAACTTTTTAAATACTTTAAACTTTAAAATTTTTTTTTTTTAATTTTACAAATACGTCTTGCGAGTAGGTAAGAACAAACCGATCAAGCTGTCAATTGGCACTGACGGTTGTTTACACTGTTCCGTATTTTTCATATCCGTATCAGTGAAATTCCCCAAAACATTGTCTCCGACAAATCTAAAATTACGGACACGGAACGGATACTGAACGGACATGTGTGAACATGCCCATTTCATAACAAGTAAACAAATTTAAAACGCCGGACACGCAACGGTTATGTGTAAATAGACCTTTAGTCTGTGTTCGGCATATGAACGGTTATAATCTGCGAGTACAAAAATGTGATGGTTTTTTTTTGCGAGTTGTATTTTATGAAAAGTGATTAAATAACTAAATTTATTAATTATTACATATTTGATGTATGTATTTTTTTTTGTTTTGATGAATAGAAATAGTGATCAACCATTATAATTCAGTTTTGGCGTAAAAAAAAAAAAATTACAAACAACGAAGAAACCGAAAGTAAATCGAGTAATATTCAAAATATCGCAACCGAAGTAAAAAAAATAACGACTTAGGAAGGATAAATTGTTTTATTATGATGCTGTACGGTTTTTATTGCTATATTTTATACACCCCCCCCCCCCCGGAATTGTATTTTGTGTACGTGCCTGTCACGAACAATGTTCGTAAAAAAAAAAAAATCACGATCCCGACACAAATAGGAATGTATGATCTAACCGTCACAGGAATGCCCCGGGGGATGTCTCGAACACCTAAATTCTCGGAACGTCGCTAGGTACACGGGGTGTTATTGCTGGTAAGTCGAAAGCGAATGGGCGTACACAAACACAATGGACTCGTCTACACGTTATCCGTTGTTCACCGGTTAGGCATCTCCTCGTAGAAATTGCTGCTGATCACAAAAAAAAAAAAAACACCGCGCTACCCCATCGCCATCCCTAACATCCCTGCGCGACAAATATTTCGATGTTGCGGGTGGGCGCGCACGAGATCAGCGCGACGATCGTCGGACGACGGATCGATCCGTACGGTGTTCCGTCGCGCGGCATTGTCGTTCCCGGAACGTCGGCGCGCGCGCACGTGACAATACGACCGTCGGATGATTCATAACGTACGGCGCGCGTGATTCATTCGTTCGTTCACGCGACCCAGGTTCGTCCATGCGGACGCCGCGTGCACCGGCGGCGGGAACGTCCGTTTCCCCGCGGGCATGTTCGGGCGGGCACTGGTCTGACGCACGTTCGGCGATGACGCAACCGTTCATCTCTCGGAGCGGTCCCGCGGAGTCGGTCGCGATTTTCGGTGCGTTTTTATCGGGACGGGAACGAATCGGGGAGGGGGAAAAAAAAAACGCGCCGACCGAGTGCGGCGTCGCCGCGACAATGATTCACGCAACGGTTCCCGGTATAGCTGCACGACTACTATTTTCATCGGACCGGCGCGAGAATCGCGTCTCCGGAGCTTTTTTGCCGCCGACGATCCGACGGTCCGTAACGGGGGTTTTTTTTTTTTTCCGCTCTCGTCCGACCGCGTAAAAATAAACAATAACAATAATCCGTGTTGGGGCGGGACGAGCGTATCGACGTGGTCACATCGGCTGCATCCCAGTTTAAAATTACCACACTAGTTGGGTCCCGAATCACATTTTTAGGCGCTGCACCGGTTGGGCCCTGAATCGTTTTAGGTATACACTATTTCCTGATTATTATTTTTTGGTGATTACTGCGTTGCGCTGACGTTTTCCTTCCTATTTTAACGGACCTAGGACTGTCCGCGATCCGTTTCGACCACAGGACCACGTTTTTTAAAAATTCTATAATTTATATAATATTTTTATGTAATAGTATTGGAAAGTTAGTGTAGTGTAATGAAAATATGACGATAATCAAAAATATCGTACAATAATAATCATACGATTTTAATATTTTTACCGACACGATTCTAATAGTTTATATTTTAATGGAAAAAAAAAACTATAAAATAAATTTTTCACCATACCTGTGGTCTAAATAGAACATAGACAGTCCTAAGTCTGTTAAAACGAGAAGGACAATGTTAGTATAATGTAGTACTTAGCAAAAAATATTCAGAAGCTAGTGTAGTACCTACAATAATTCAGGACCCAACTCGGATGCTCCGGTTGCATCGGGGCGGTGCACTGCTTGTTGGCGCTCGTCCTGAAAATAAAAATCACCTAAACCATCAAATGTTCGATGAGGCGGTCGTTATTATCTCTGAGATTTCGGGCAAGGACGTATGCGAAGTGAAATGCTCCGTCTTTACCTTTGTCGAGTTCGATAGCTCATTAGATAGTTTCCGTGTCTCGGGTTTAGAAACATTTCATTGATCACAGTTTATATTTATCGTAAATGTTATGATTGAATGTTAAAATATTAAAATAAACAAAAAAATTCACAACAATTTCATCTCGTTACCATTGGTAAACTGAAAAATAGAATCACCTTGGCGCATAAGAAAATTGTCGTAAGAATCAAAAAAAAAAAAAAATTAAATCTAGTGTGGATTGCAGACGCGGATCTAGGGGGTTAGTCATGATTCAAGATCAGGTGCTTCGTGTTTGTTTATAAATTAATAAATGCAATAAAACAGAAAAAAAAAAACAACTTTGTAATTTTGAATTTTAACAATAATTAATAATGTTCTAATCTCTTCGTTTAGTAATTTACTTTTATTATTCCTAAATTGCGTATAATTCCTTTCGAAAAAATGACCCCCACTCAATTATAGTTCTAGATGCGCTACGGGTTCACCGAGCGATCGAAATATTCCGATCCGCCGAACGATAATCGATACCAAATACCACGCATTATACTTGAAAATTGAATTACATATTTATTTTAACATTGGTTGCGATGATGAGTCAGCACCATAAATACATACACAGAAAATGTTAATCGATAATTGCGAAATAAAGCAACACTCGTATAATTACCGTTGTTCAAATTAATAGGTGCAGGTACACAGTTCCTCATTAAATATTATCGTTTTAAATTTATAATATAATTATGATATTTTTATTAATAGCCGTTCATCATTAGAAGAAGAAAAAAAAAAAAAAATAGATTTTATATTGTAGTACGATTCGTAAACCAAATAATACTGTGAGACACGAGCAATTTTCCGAAATCGCGAAAACGAAACGAGCAAATGTACACATATGTGTACACGCCGCGTGAAGGTCAAATAATTACAGTAGGTACCTATATAATATATGCACATGGTTTAGGAAAAAATAAATATATGCTACGCAATACTATTGTGTATTATGCGAACGATTTTCGTTTTTCGAAAGGAACGGGCTCAATTATTGAACAAATGTTAGTATTTATATTACCTAAGGTCGAAGCAATAACGATCCTCAACACTCGCGATCGATCCTTCTGCCCCGTAATCGAGCTTATCACAGGTCAAGATCGACCGGTTAGATATTGTTTTTGAATGAAAACATTCAAAAACAGTTCGAGAGGGAGGGACGATTTTGATTATTGCTCTGTCGCCGTCCGTACCCGATCCGAACGACCGACGGTACTCGTTAGCATAATGGTTAATTTCACGTAAACAATAATATTTATTATGTCATCGCTTTTGTGACGGCACAACGTTGTTATACGCTCTTTTGTACTCGCATTCGAAAGGAAGTACGGAAATAACGTAGGTAGGGGCAGGTACACGATTCGCGGTATCGCGCGTGCGCACTGCCATAACGGGTAGCGGATTGCAGCGTGTTCGCTACGGCCTTTATCGAATCGCGAACGGGAAAACTTCAACGAACTCGTACGTGTTTGTCAATAGTAATTGTTGTTCGTAACCGGCTTTCTTAAAAGGCGAAGGACACGGAACGGGTATAAAATCTCTTATCGTCAAAAACATGTTTTGGCCATAAATTATAGGTGAATTATGAATTTTATGAGTTGATGATTTTTTTTTTTTTTTTTAATCTAAAAACAAAACCTGCACTTTGAAAACTACGGCCAACGTAAGTGATCGGGTGTAGTGACGGGGGAGGGGGAGGGGGGTCGTGCTAACCATTGGTACACGGTTCTTGGCGTCGATACCTTTCCTTCCCGCCAGGCCCGGCTCAAGGGGTAGGCGACACAGGCCCACGCCCAGGACGGCATTTAATATTTTTAAATTATGGACGATTCAAAAAAAAAAAAAAAAATTACATTTACCAGTACCTGCTCGTATCAGACTATATGTGGTAAAAATTAAGACTGAGAAAACCGTTTTGTTT